GGTGGCGCGTCACGTGTTGTGAGAGAGCGTGTGTGTGCGTTCGTGTGTATCCGATATGTCACGGGCATAACGAAAATAGATGATGCTCTGATACTACACACCTAAATGCAAAGAAATCACATAATTTAAAGAACGTCCAGAGTGCTGGTGTACGTGGGTGTGATAGTATAGTTAGCTGGATTAACCAGACATGACTCATGAGGAATTCACAATCAAAACTACTTCAACTAAAAAGCATGTCACCAGTGACAGACTCCTACTAGTGCATTACACACATTGCACACACGCACGCCATACACACATCACACACACACACACACACACATATATATATATATATATATATATATATATATATAACAAGCCAGCTACGCAAGAGAAAACTACAAACATTGGAAGTCTGTGCAGAAATCAGCGAAGTCACACATGAAAGAGCAGAAAGGGGAAAATAAGCTGGGTGTTCGGGAAAGTCTGCGTGCCTCCCAGCCCAAAACACCTGTCCTACCCGTGCCGTCGTCTGCACAAATGCGACACCTAGTGACAACCGCATAATGCCTTATGGCTAACCCCACCCCCTACCCCCACCAGTTCATATACTGCCTCTACACTTACACCTATCTGTGACATGGAAAACACCCCGCATTTTGGTTGCGAGAATGTTTTTCTCGCGCCTCACACAATGTGGACGGCATCTTACGTCTACCGATTAAGCTCGTTCAGCATCTTGCTGCAGCCATATTACGCGGCGTTTAGTCCTGGATGTTAAATGCGCACACCGCCTCCAATAGACTGAGCATTCCATGCCGATATCGCGTGGTTTACAAGGAGTGCAGGCAGACCGTCCTACTGTCCAGGTGAAGAGCAGGGCGCCACCCAGTGGCAGAATTTGAAAGCGCTGCCTCTTTCCCCGCAGATAGCAATCTCTAAAAATACCTACCTGTCCGTACCTTACGAGTAAGGCATGAAATTTTGTTCGAGAGAGACACCTCACCAGAGACGGGCAAATCCACCCTAAGAGCTAGCTTTTTATCCATGCCCTCCCCTTTAGTGTGAACTGATTTACCCTTTTCATCAGAGTGGGGAAACCTCTTAGCGACTTAAGTGTAATCTACTACTGACAGAGGAGTATTTCGAGTAGGCATGCCACCGAAAATGGGCTATCTGCTGCGCATTTCACTACAGGAACAGTGAATTTCCCAGCCTCCGTCTTCTCTCTCTCTCTCACACACACATCTCCTCTCTCTCTCTCTCTCTCTCTCTCTCTCTCTCTCTCTCTCTCTCTACTCTCTTCTCTCCTTTCTCTCTCTCTCTCTCTCTCTCTCACACACACACAGACGCACACGCACACGCTCACGCACACGCACACGCATACGCACACGCACACGCACACGCACACGCACACGCACACGCACGCAAACACACACACACACACACCCACACACATACACTCCCACACTCATACACACATACACATCTCTCAATCGCCTCTGAATCCCAACCAGCTGGGGATAACACTGGTATTATAGCAGTGTACCCACCTGACTCGGTGGCATGCCACAGTGTGGGGGTGGGGGTTGTGGGTGGGGGGACGGCTGAGATGATCCCGGCTGTACATTCGGCGGAGACGGGCGCATGTGTGCATTCTGAAATCATAGCGAACTGCTCAAACAACACACGACAATCGCTTCGACACCCTACTCCTCAGCACTCGCCGATGCTTCCATCCCCCAGTACGTGCAGGCGAACAAGCAAGAGTGGGTGCTGACGAACAGGGTTCGACTAAAATCTGCACACAGCAACGGCTAACATGACATAATGTGAACCACAGGCACTTGGAGCGTTTCAATAAAATATAATGCTAATAAATACGAAATCTATTTACTACCAAAGTCTTAATGTAACTCTCTTTCGCTTATTATTGCCGACAATTTCCTGTAAATGCCGTGCAAATGCTCCTCTGCAACACACATGTACACCACGCGCACGCTGCCGCACACTACATGTGTCAGTGTGCGCGCGGTGTACATGTGTGTTGCAGAGGAGCATTTGCACAGCATTTACAGGAAATTGTCGGCAATAATAGGCGAAAGAGAATAGAGAAACATTAAGACTTTGGTAGTAAATAGATTTCGTATTTATTTAGCATGATATTTTATTGAAACGCTCCAAGTGCCTGTGATGTGAACAGCGCTGCCGAAACAAGGACAGAAGACCTTCACATGTTAACTGCTGGGAACAGCTAGCAGAGAAATTGCCCGGATCTCAAAAACTGTTGGCATATGACCATTAATCTACGGTTTAGTTTATTACACAGTTTCCCATGCTCGTTTGATATAGACGAGTTGAGACTTCTCGTCCCGCATGACGTTGTTTACGTTTTATGTATACCAAATTTATTATTTCTTTTATTTTTATTTTTATTTTTTCCAAAACTCAAGGCAACATCTAAGAGCATGTGAAGGTCATATCTAGTATTTGTTACAAACGAACAATGCCACATGTGAACAGTGAACAACTAAAACGGCAACAACTAAAGAAGGATTCTTCAAATTAAGATAAATGTGATTCTTTTAATTTTATTTACAAATATGTGCACCTTTTTAAAGGAATCGCTTTTTACAATTTTTGTTTGTTTATCTACTTTTTTACTCTTTCAAAATTCATAGGCCATCAATTGAATGCAGGTCCCCACCACAAGAAATCATTTTATTACACACACACACACGCGCACGCACACACAACACACAAACAAACAAACAAAAACAAACAGACACACAGACAGACAGACAGACAGAAACGCACACACACAAACATACACGCGCGTGTATATATATATATATATATATATATATATATATACAGTGAGTAGGTGCCCAATATATGCTGCTTGTGTCTGCCTGAGCTTCATTTTTCCCAGGTTTAACCTCAGGTTCTTCTGCCTGCACCGCTGTAAGAACGCACGGACATTGGAGTCATGATTGTCCAGAGCCTCTTCCATAGTGTCTCCTACACCTTGCACTAGCACATCATCGACGATGCTTCTCACGCCTCTTCCTACTTTATACTTTGCATCATTTTTGGGGTTGATCATTTTCACCCAACACTCCCCCATTGGTTGTATGGTGCCCCCATCGTTGATTCAAGGTGCAAGGACCCCGGCAACCTTCCGGTACCCTCAAACACAATCTTGATGTAACAAACGCTCAGGTGTTTGTTTATAACAACATGTGTTGTGACAGATAGTACCAGGGTACGTTCCGGTATACCGGACTGTACCCAGGGTACGTTCCGGCAGTACCCTGGGGGACATAGACCCTCTCAGCACAAGTAAGAGGTCGATAGACATAATTTCCAAACATTTGAATGTTAATTATGTAGAGTACATTTGAACTACTCTTACTACTATTTTCTGGTATGTACTAGTACAACTGAACTACTAATGAATGGTATCTACGATTATATGAAGGTTTGTGCTGCCATCTGGTGATTATGTTTACTTGAAGTCTTAAATGATACCATAGTGCAGTCGATCAAAATGATGATGAGCCCGTGAATCGAGTCTAGGATTTAAACGTTAGTTTTCACAACTTTTATGATGCTAGTCATGCGTTTTTATGGACTTCATCACAGGCTATCAATTAATCAGAGATAATACGTGCAGATATTGAGTCAATTAAGCACCAGTAGTAAGCCAATTTTTTCAGCTTACGGACACTCCCGATTTTTCTGCAGAGTAATATTAACATTCCCCATTATCCGCCGAGCACTGCCTTACTTGGCTGATGGAAATAGCATGCAGCTTCAAATATAAAGGGTAAAAAATGTATGCTATAGTATGTTCTAACATTCTTAAAAAATTGTGAAATATTATGTCATAAGTGGCAGAGCTGGTTAATTAAATCGATTTGACATATTGTTAGCTATTTAAAAATACAATTATTTATTTGCCATCTTCCGGTAAAAGTTTTTCTTAGTGACCTACCATTATTTTGTTAAGCAAGTTTCAGGTCAAAGGATAAGCCATTTTCTCATTAACATGGCTTAATTTCCAGCTGTTTACTTTTGGCAGTCCCAACACAATCATGCTGTGATATCACAGCTTCATGTATACGTCTCCAAACTGATCGAGTTTACCTGTGTATTGGAGCTGCTTATGGCACATGTAATTGACTCCAATTGGTACAACCCCCTCCCGGGCCTTTTCCCAACGGCCCATAAATGACATGACTTGTGAAATTCCTGGGTAGAACTCTGCACACTAAACACATACATGCCTACACACCTGCAATGCGTGCGGGGGTGCGCAATCATCTACCCATACTTGGATAGTTCATGGTTAAGGCCCCCGCACACGGTGCGCATTTGGCGCGTGTAAACGGCGCTGAATACAAGTCACACATGCGCATTGCTTGGGTTGTGTGCGCAAGCGGCGCACTCCAGCCCACACACGGTGCGAATTCGGCGCACGCCATCAGCGCTGAGCTAAACGCATGCGCCATTTGTGCTCGTAAACCAGCCCACACACGATGCGAATTCGGCGCAGCATCGTTGACGCACCGTGTGCGGGGGCCATCACGCTCGACATCAGTCGAGTTTATACTACAAACGGCACCTTCACGGAGATAACACCATCACGCGCGCCATGAAGCGCTGGCCATGGCGCTGGCAGAGCGAGCTTACCGAGCTGACATTGTCTTGTTGATACGGCAACCTAACTGGACCTCTGGGACCGCCTGGATATCTTGGTGACATCATGTGCTGCAAGTAGACAACAACGTCAACACACGCAGGGTGACTGAATTGCGTGTCGAACTCTCTGCCCATGCAGTCGCACGCGCTCTCGTGCAATGACGCTGCGTACGCATGAAGCAAAGCATTCCTCATGTCCGTACAAGATGCTTTTGTGACATCCAGACGCACTTCGTGAATCAAGACGCTTCCCTCATACTTCTCTTGCGTACATGTTCGCGCAAATGAAACTCGGCAAAGGCAAAAATGGAAGTGAACATTTCCAAATTCGATTGAACTGAACGTTGGTTGGACCAAAAGGCGTGGGCAGCGAGTCAAAATCAGTGGGGAGACAAAACTTTGCACCTCTAATCATTAAAAGAAGCTATATAGCTACAAACGAAAGCGCATATCTTTAATCTAGTGCGTAACCGACTGCTTGTTGGCAACAAAAATTAAAGCACTATGCTGCATGCAGTTGGAGTGTATCAGTAGGTGGCAGATACTACACAGTTAAAAACACCAGTGATTGGAAGACCTGGCATGCAGCTTCAGTAAAATAGCAATTTTTGCACCGTTAAGATACATACCACTATGAGGACTATGAACAGATTAACCTTTCCTTCTGACCCAAATACCTTAAAACCTTTATATATATATATATATATATATATATATATATATAATTAACGCTTCTCGAATATACAAATGTTTTTATAAAACTATGTAGATGTCTTTGTACATGTAGAAAGGATACACGTGACATTATTTTAAATACCAACAAATTCAATGTAATTTGGTTAAAAACTGTTATGGAAAAAAACACTAAACAATTAAAAACACATATATTGAACCCCCCTGACGAAATGTCATTATTCACTTGCAACAAACACGGGATTTTGTGCAGGATATTGTGAAAAATTACTACTGCATATATTATACACATCCAGCATTTTAATGATGTGCAGTGCAGCATGGATTCGCAGGCAACTAACTACCTGGCAACTTTGCGTATGAATTCAAATAAACCAGGGTTTTTCTTGTATTTTATTGAATAACATGGTTGAAATTTGCATCCATTGGAGGATTAGAAAAACAATAGGAAGGTGACTGTGAAATATGGTCTAAACGCCTGAAGATAAACAGGGTAGAAATAGAACACTTTAATTAAGGAAGGTAGAATGAACCTTCCTAGCCTCGTGAAGAAGGAGTCTGCAGGACAGATGTACAAGCAGAACTATACACATAAAAATGAAGTGGCAACATGAGTCAGGGACTGACTGTCACGCTGACTAAAATGATCATGTTACCTCTTCTCTACTTTACCTACCACATAATAAGATTTCAAAACACAGAGCAGAATTGTACTTTTACTTTTTTTAGTTTGGGGTTATGGACAAGAAATTTTTTTGAGGGTCACATGGACTCCTGCTGATGCCAGATCAGGAAGCCGTAGTAGAACAGAGTATTGACTCCGGACTCCATCTAACTTCTTTGTTATTATTCTCTCACGGCAATTTAGCCCCTGATACATGCATTTCTCTCTCTCGTCTCTTCTCTCTCTCTCTTCAAGAAAACGCTCCGGCCCGGGGA